TTTCATCACTTTGTGTAACAATTTTCGGAAAATGATCAATCTCACTAAGCTACGTTTTGATTGACGACGCCCCAAATTATCAGTTGGGGCATTTTTTACTTAATGAGTGGCTATGGTTTCATTAGTAAAATCCTTAGCACATGACATCGGGTGTCCTTCGATGTTTTTTAATAAAGAAACACAATCCTCGTTTTCTATTAATCTTCGTGAACGTATATTTACCTAATATTTTGTAAGAACTCTAGATTTTAAAAATGTATGTCAAAACTTGTACGTATCTATTTTAAATTTTAATTGAGGGGAGGCAATTCATGTTGTACTACAAAGCCGAATTCATAGGATCGAAGCCTAAAAGGCAAAAATAATTATACACGTAGTGAAATAACGATAGTCAATAATCGTTACCCAGAGGCGCAAGGCAATATCACCAAATAGAGATTAGTTTGTGACCGTGCCTTTGTCGTCGTGAAAAGTTCTTTCATCAGAGGCGCAAGGCAATATCACCAAATAGATATTAGTTTGTGTACCTTTGTCGTCGTGAAAAGTTCTTTCATATGTCAATAGGTGGGAAAGTTAAAATTGGTTACATGAAGGATGGAAAATGGAATTATGGGTAACCAAAAAGGGAAGTGAATGAAAAATTGCTAAAGTAACAAATAACTTTCGATTTTTCTTTAAAAAATGATTATAAAAGGATAGTAATAAAGCATAGAATCGCACATCCCCAAGTTAAAAAATAACGTTTCTCCAAAGATTAAGAGTTTCTTGTCCTTGTAATCCATTCTAATCTACTCGCTCCAAATCGTAAAACCGCTTTTATAAATATCGGATGACGTCGTTGCTCATCTCACAGTCACCACCAATTTGTTTGGTAGTGACTGTGGGTCGAGCAACGATGCCATCCCAATACTTGCAAGATTTTAGGTTGCATCACTTTGACTGAGGTACCGTGTATAAAGAGCTTGAGGCTTTTAAAAAATTTGTGCAAACATACTAACCCCAGCCTTGTTCATAAAAAAGGAAAGGAAAATTATATAAATAAAAATACTAACGAACAAGTACCACAAACGAAAACGAAAGGTCATGCTTACCCGAGTTTCGAGAAGCCGGATACCTATCTGGAAATGAAGGTAAATTATCATTTGAAAGAAACTAGTCAACAAAAAAAATATAGATATTTACTTTCTTTACAGGTAATTCACGGAACCCGGCCTGCAAACGACAAAAAAAACTCGTATACTAAATAACATAGGCATATCTGAAATAACCATTCAAATAAGCACTTGAAATAAATTATAAAATATAAGTCGCATTTTAATCAATTTCCCTGTCTCTCATTTCTTTGGATAAATGGAATCAGTTAATAATAAAAATTTTAAACTCGCTACTGAATTAAATTTATTAAAAAAAACTATTTTTTTAACTATTTATATTTGTATTAAATTTAATTGCAGATCCGTCTATTAAGGATAGAATTTCATAGGCGCAAATCCATTATATAGATCATGTGAATACATACTT